AGCAAGATTCCTGCAGGACCCAATGTTTACAGAGTGGAAAGGTAATCCAGGTCCTAAGGAAAGGCAGTAAATGCATACTGGAGTCATTTCCACAAAGGAGGGAAATGCTTTTGTTCTGCTTTACCAGTGGGGCATTTGCCAGCTAGGTAACTGGTGCATGAAAGGCTATTTTTTACCTATTTTAGTAAAAATGCCACAACTGGCACAATAGCACCTGCTATTGGAGCCACAACTTGAACATAGTCTACTAACGTACACCCTGACCCACCTAATTTTTTCAAGGGCTAAACATATGGATAAAATGGTACATGATGGAGGTCATCATTTCTACATTTTTAAGTCTTTGCTGGTAGTACAACCTCTGCGTTTCCTCCTAGGGCACAATACACTTCCTATTTACTATCTTGGATCAAGGAGAAGAGATGATTACAGGAGCTCCATTTGGCCCTTCCCACCATAAGAACTCTTATCACAGATGAGACAGTGATCCAACGGTTGCTAAGCATATCAACACTGATCACACCTTGGAGAGTCCGTAAACCCACTGGACTAACTAAAGGACAGATTTTGGACAGAACTCCTTTTATTGTGTGGCCTCGATTTTGAATGCTTGGTATCAGTGTCCATTTAGTCCTTGTGTCAAATAGCCTTTGAATCTAGTCATTCACATTGTACAGCGTGCTGTCTTTGGGTAAATGACTTTTGGTCCCTTAGGGGATATATTAGGGAACACTCTGTAGATAATTCATGATGACATTGCAAGGCTCTTCCTTGAGGGGCTTACCATCCCCCTAGCTTACAGAAGAAGCTAAGCTTTTCAAAGATACCAACGTCCTTCTCACCAGTGTATTCTGCATTGCATAATTGAGGCAGTGTCCACAAAGCCTTCCCAGGAAACATGGACAGGTACTGAGGCTTCTGATTCCTTCCTCAACATTCTGTCAAGGCCATTTCACTATCCCTGCTTCATTTACTATAGGCTTTCTGCATTCAAGCTTTAAGGAACCATCTCAGCAGGGCATTCAGACTGGCTGTAGGTGTCCTTGAACTGCTATTAAATTCAGAATCATGGAGATTGCTCTGATGTCATTAAATCCTCCCTTAATCCAGCCTGATATTTTGTCCCCTTTTCTTCTCCTCCCAAGTCTAATACCTGACATATTCACTCCTGGATTCTGGCACATGGTCTCCTACTTGCAGCTGCCAGTTGTTACCAGCTAAATCTAGTGGTACTTTACGTGACAAAGCTATTTCTTCCCAAAAAGAGGGCTATACTTCCCTGCTATGGCTATGTTGAGAGCTGACCCTAATTTTTGGTCTGGAGACAATAAGGAGAGGTTGGAGCAGACACTGAGGACAAATGTGATCCTGTCAGGCACCTGCCTCTGATGAAGTATTTTCTTGGTGTTCAGGTACAGGAAAGTTGTTTTTCTGATCTAAGGGCTGGGGTTGCTTCTACCAGCCCAAAGGGCTCAAAGGGATTTAGGGGCTCATGGCTCCTCGTAATGCCCAAACTGTTATCTCCATCCTAGATTTCAGAGTCTTTCCCCTGAAGCATCAGGGCCCTAACTTTAGCATAGACATCTGCCAAGGGTATAGATTTAATCACCTTTGCACCGCTGCCACTCTTGCAATCAAATTCTGAACTGGTATTTAGCCATCTTTTCTGTGGCTGCAAAGGTCTCTTTAAATACTGATATGGAGGCATTTCAGCTCTTAAGTTGAACCCTAAGTTGATAGCTGCATGACCATAAAATTTTTTTTAAAAAAGCACGCAAATTTCCTCATTTATGTAAGTACCATTGCCCTTTCCTATTCAAGTGCCAGAACTACTATGCAGACTAATGTTTTATGTTCATCTTCTACCCACAGCAGGTAAGAATAGCCTTAGTAATTGTGATGCCATAGCATACCAGCAGATACACCTCTTGTCATCTGTCTGGAAATGGTGAGTGACCCTTTTCCAGAGGCCTGAGAGGCTGCATTTGAGACTTTCTTATTACACCAACTTTATTAACATGGTTCTTTCCAAAAGTATAACCTACGACTATGGGGGACGGTGAAGGCTGACATCAAAAGCCAGGTTAAGCACTTGGCAAAGCCACGCTCGACCGCTTGTTATATGCAAAGCAGAGCAAGCTGGCAACTGGCGACAGCCCGAGCCCGGGGATTTGAGAAAGGAGTAGATACCTGCAAGCTCCACTGAAGGTGACTGCAACCATTGCGGAAGATAGTTTTATCATGTAGATAGCCTGGGAATGGAACAATCCGTGCCCACAGCATTCCCCTAAGTCTGCAAAACTCCCTTGAGCTTTATCTAACCGACCTCTATAAAATAAACATGCAGACTGTGGTCATTTTCATCGTCTCTCCATCAGAGGACAATGTCCCACCTGGCCCCCGCTTTTCTCTAAATTGTCTTGTGTTGTGTCTTTGTGTTGTGTTGTCCTTTCTCAATCTCCCATCGCTCTCACTCAGGGACCACCACTCCTCTAGGGTTGCAGCATAAGACAACTACTTTGATGTAGTCAGATCATTTGGAAGATAATTCTAGTGAGAAGCAGTGAGAAAAATGGGGAGAAATATGTAAAAGATATTGTAAGAGTGTGTCAATGATGTTGCTGCTGTGGGAAACCAGAACTCAATTTCACCAGGACTACTTGAGAAGCACAACAAATGCCCTTACAAAATTGTCTTGCTAAGGGAAATTATTAGCCCTTGGTGTGGCAAGGTGAATTTTCACAAATCAGCTATTAGCAGTTTTCCTATTTCAGTTATGCTTTTAGAAATCAGCATATTAGCATTACCACAGATTGGATTACTGCCTTTTTTAATGCATCTGTTTATTTTGGTTGACTCTGCTTGGACTATCCTTTCCTCTCTCCTTCTCCCCATTGCAAACCCATTGGAATCCTCCTTGTCATTTTCATTCTGCCTTCTAAAAGAAGCCTTCATAAGCCACTCCAGCCAATATTTTAAATACTTATTCTGAATTTCTACTCTACTATCTTAACAGTCATTTGGCACTTAATCTTAGTCATTCACACAGTATTTACTGAGTACAGACTATGTACCAAGTACTCTTTTCTTGATGTTGGAGATATAGCTGTGAACAAGTGAGACAAAATTTCTTCTCTTGTGGAACAAACATTAAAAAAGCAAAAATAGGTGAGGAAGACAGAAAACAAATATGTAGGAAGTGATCATAATTGCTATGAAGACAAGTAAAGCAGGGTGAGGACAGTGTTTGTGTGTGTGTCTGTGTGCATGCTCACACCAGGGTTAGCTCTCCTAGACACGGTAGTTAGGGAAGAACCTTTGAGTACTGGCCGGAAGAAAAGGAGGAAGCATGTCTTGTGGACATCTGGGAGGGCAGCATTCCCCGCAGAAGGAACAGTAAGTCTACAGTGCTGATGCTTAATATGCTCAGCAGGGGTTAGAGGGCCTTCAGAGAGTTGCTGTGGGTGTGGTCCATGTACATCAGGTTCTGTCTTACAGGCCATGATAAAAGTTTTGAACTAAAGCAGTAAGCCATAAAAGTGTTCTAAGCAGAAAAATGTGTACTTTGCCACAGGTTCTGAAAGGATCATTCCAGCTGCTGAATGAATTTGGATGTAGAGAAATAAAGGGCTGTAGGAAGACCTATTAAGTTACTGCAATTATGTAGTCATGAGTGGATGGTACCTTATGACAACTTTCGTACTGTAAGTTGTTTTATAGTGGCATTTACCTTTTTTTGTCATATGTATCCATAACTTATTGATGGCAGGGAGCTCCTACTTGTAATTGATGGATCATGTATAGGGATTCAATAACTTGTTGAAAGTACCACTAACAGTAGTATTAAACCCACATTATTTAGTTAATAGTATGGCATCACTGAAAGCCTTTGTCATTTACTACTTCTTTAAGGAAATTTTATTCTCCAAGCTTTAATTTCAACATTTTTAAAATGCTGATAACACCTACCAACCATGTTGGTGAGGATTAAATGAAAATGCCTAGCCATACCTACCACTTATGATGGGAGATAACTGCCATGCTTCAACAGAAGCTCTAACACCCAATACAAACACAAATTTTCTTTCTGTATAATGCCTGTGAAATTTTAAAAGCTATAATAACTGTCTGGATTCAACACATATTAATCCAATTTATTCCTTTCTGGATAGCCAAAGTGTGCACTCAAAAATGTTCCAGCTTTGTTATAGCAATATTTGCCTTCCATATCATTTTAGTTATTGAAAAATAACTCATCACCTATCCCATCTTGGTTTTTCATATCATTACATCCCAGTAATTGCAGCTGTAGCCCTAAACCTAGGCTAAATGTTGAGTTTGATGGCTAGTCAAGCTATGGGATTTACATTCTGAGCAGTAAGTGACAGTGTCAAAACAATACTGGCAACACTTCTGTTATGTTGCAAGGATGGGGGTTGTGGTAGCTACAAGATCAATTATAATGTCACAGGCAACCCAAGGGCTACTTCAATCTGCTTACATCAGAAAGCAGGTCCAAGTCAGGCAAGAACATGGAAGCAAAGGTATGATGACTTTGCCCCACCTCATTATCATCAAGCAGAAGGAAGAGGGAACCTCAATGGTTTCTAAATTTGGGTTTAACTTTCATCACTTGGCCAAATTGTCGAACTTCAGCGCAGGGCGATGGACGTGGACGTCTCCTCCTGCGTGGAAGCCCATGGTCCTGGGGGAGCCAGGGAGACCCTGGTCAACAAAGAGGCTGCAGAAGCTCAGAGGCTCGGACCCAGGAACAAGCACAGCACCGATCAGAGGATGAGAACATCGACCCCATCGGCGATCGCCGCCCCTACGCAATTTCTAGTGAATAAAGAAGTGCAGTCCTCGGACGTTTGGGACCACCACGGCTTCACTCTTCCCGCGTCCCGGAGGGGGATACGCATGCGCGAGGGGTAATCTGGACGTAGCCACCAAGGAGGCGGGGCTGTGGAACTGCGCAAGCGCGCAGTGACACATAGGCGGAAGTGGCACGGGAACGCCGGCAAAAAAAAAAGGACCTTTACAAGAAGGCGGCAGCTGTGGCGGAAAGGGCAGGAGTAGGCGAAGCGGAGGAGAAGCCGGAGGTGATGGCAACGCACCTGGGGAGGGGGAGACGCTTCGTCTGGCTGGCGACATCCAATCTGGGGTCACCCTTCCAGGTGACACCCCGGCTCAGAAATGGTCGTGCCGCCCGGGCCTTTCGCCTTGTTTGGGACCCAGATCCCCTCTCCCCAGAGAACCTTCCCCTCATCCGTGACGACCGTGTATGGAGAGGATGAGGTCGGGATAGAGAGCACGGGTGACTTCCTTTTTTAAAGAACGGAAACCTGCTGTCACGGTTTCTAGGGAGGAATTACGTCTTTTCTCCTTTTCGGCCCTCCGAGGGTCCAGAACTCCCTCCAGCCCCGGTCTGTGGACTCGCAGGCATGCGGCCACATGCAGGGGCGTCTTAGACCTCTGGAGAAGTATCAGTCTTCTGGTTTCCCCAAGACTGCATTTTAGTTACGCGCTTCTTGTGGGTTCTGCCTTAAATCTGCTGTCCATTTGATTTGCAGTGCAAGATGATTGTACTTACCAGGTTATTAAATTCTTATCCTAAACTTATTCCAGAAGTTATGCTCATTCCTCCGGTCTTTGCAGCTTAATTCTCTCCCCCACTTGTTAATTTTTTTTAAATACTGGTTTAGTCTGCTAAGAGGTGTTTGTGTGTTTTTAAGTGTTGGGCCTATTCATTTCTTCCACAGTAGGATATAAGATGTCGAGAATTGATTTGTGGATAAACATTTGCCAAGTGAATTGGGATAGTTTGGAACTTGGAAGAACGATATAGCAGTATTTGAAAATAATTTAGCTTAATGTTTGTTGTACTTAATTTATATATATATGACTAGATTAAGAAATTTACTGAAATAATTTTGACTTGAGTAAGTCATTGGAAATCAACATTATCACCAGTTATTTATAACTTTTATATTTCACTATGTGCTAGCAAAGCTACCCTTTAATTCAGTTTTAGCAGTTATTTGTTCCTTCAGGTAACTAAAGTTAATAAGATGTGTTGACTTTAGTAAGAAGATACAAGCAGTGATTCACAACTGTGGGGTTTTTGTACTTAGTTTCAAGAGTTAACTGAACTTCTAAAATAAAACAAAACGTTGGTCATTTAATTTGAAAACTATTTTAACTTCATGCTTGATATTTTTCCTGTGCCACAAGGACATTGGCCTAATTTCTTTAGATGTTGATTAATAATGTCTGAAATGGAAGGGACATGGCAAACATTTAGGATCACAGTTATTGGGCGTCAGAGTTCACAGGGTCTTCCTTCATCAGTCACATGATCAGTTCTGATTGATAAAACTGCATTCTAAATGCAAGGCTTTAAAGGGCAGATTTTCTGATGCTGTGCCTTCAGTAAACAAAGGAAATGAATATACTTCCATGTTCATTTTAGATGCGTTGTGGAAAATTTTAGTAAAAATGTCAATACTTTAGCACAGGTGTCCAAGAAGTAACCGTCCTCGAGGGATGTTACTATGTCTGGCATGTATCTGTGGCTCATAAGATTGCCAATAGGTGTGTTAGAAGTGGCAAAGTATTAAAAAGAAGAGAAATACTATTGATTAAATAGTGTTTATTAAAGTGTAATAGAGTTCTTCATTTAATATTTTAATTTTTAAGTTTACAGTTGTGAGTAGGCAAAACATAAAGTTTATTCTTGTATTATTTATTAATTATTTGTTACTTTTCCATGCAAACACTGTAAACCTCCTTTTGCCCCACCCTGTATATATACAAAGAGAAATCAACAGTCATGGAGCCTTCATGATTTTTTACAGACTAACAGAAATAATGTGTTTCCCACCTTTTCGCAGTCCCAAAGATTTTTTTCTTTTGTTTTTAAACAGCTTTATTGAGGTATATAATTGATATATTTAAAAACCTGCCCATTTAATATATATGACTTGATGAATTTGGATATATGCCTGCAACCATCACCATAATCAAGGTAATAAACATATCTATTACTCCAAAAGCTTTTTTGTGTCCCCTTTTATGTCTGTTTGTGATGTTAAGAACACTTAACTTGACATCTACCCTCTGAACAAATTTTTAAGCACCCAACACCATATTTTTAATTATAGGCACTACGTTGTATAGCAGATCTCTAGAATTACTCATCTTGTTCAAACTGAAACTTTATACCCATTGAACACCACCACTCCAAAAACTTTTTAAATTAAATTTATTTTTTCCAAAGAAAGAAAACATATTCTTTATACCTAAGAGATGCTATTGCTAAAGCAAATTATCCTTTCTCTAGTCTCTGATAACTAGCTTTTTAAACAACTTAGTGTTTGATTTTATTTTAAAATGTCATTAGCAAATATGTTTTACTTTTGTCTTAGTATTTAGAGAAGCATCAGTTGTTCTTTACTCTTCTGCAAATAAGAATTAACATTAATGTTGAAGATGCTGTGCATCAACTATCATGGGCTTTAAGAATTCTATCCTTACTACATATAAAAACATGTTTACATCTTTGATGAAATAAATACAAGTTTAGATTTTGGTTTGTTGCTGTGGAAATGAGAATGATATATACCTAATTTAATGCTCTATTGGTCTTTATCAAGTGAAGATAAATTGGAGAGTTAACATTGTTTTTGGTTTATTGGAAGCTCAAATAGGGGAATTAAGAAATTTATGTCCAGAGACAATGAGACTTAACTGTATACTTTTTAAAGTATGATTTGAAATATTGTTTGGAGCATTATACTATTTGATTCATATGTTTTGATTAAATTGCTTATTTCCTTCTTTAGGACTTAGCTCAGCAAGCAAAAGAAAAACTGAACAAAGGAGAGGAATCCAACAAAGATAACTTTGGAAGCACTGAATGCAGCAAAATAAGAACAATGGACCTCAAGTTCAACAACTCCAGGAAATATATTTCTATAACTGTCCCATCCAAAACCCAAACAATGTCACCACACATCAAGTCAATAGATGACATTATAGTACTTGGCATAAATCTCAGCAGATTTAACAAACTTACTCAATTTTTCATATGTGTTGCTGGAGTTTTTGTATTTTACCTCATTTATGGATATTTACAGGTAAACAAAAGTTATTTGTTTATGGTGTTTATAACATCATGTAATCACAATAAGAGCACGTAATAGTTTGGTTCAAGATATTTTCCTTTATAACTACCGTTTTCTTCACAAATTTGAGGTTTTCAGTATAGTAATAGAAAAGGGCTTCTTAAAAGTAAGTCTGCTGCAGAGGTCACAGTTTCAGAATTCAATATTTTAAGTGAGGGAAAGGGAGCCAATAAAATCTTAAACAGTTAAAGTTATGAAAAAACATGAAATATTTAACAAAATGTAGATAATTGCAAGCAGGTGTTACTTTTTAAAAGTGATTAATTCAAGTATTGATTGGTATTTTGGAACATAATTCTCCAATAAAATTGAATGATAGCACAAAAGCCACATTTCAGTTCATTCTTGATTCTTAGAGCTTAATAATAGCAGGTCCCTTTTGGAAAAGTGTGTCAGGGTGTTTTATATTTTTCCAAGGGTATCTCTTTCATTCTGTGATCATTCTTTTTTGAAGCACCTATCATGTTTTCATCTTTACTGGTTTCTTTTTCTATTCTAGATTTGCCAGAACCTTATTTTTCTGTGATTTTTTTTTTTTTTTTTTGGCCTGTGCGAAATGTTTCTAACATTGCGACGATTTGTCTCACATTTTCATTGTGTTATGGCATAGGTGTATACATTTGACCAGGAGTAAATTCCTGACCTTCAATGATGTAGGCTGGATGAGAGGAACCAGGCTACTACAAACAGAATGTTTGAATGGACTAATATTGTTAATGGTCAGTTCATTAGTGTATTTAGCCTTGACCAACATTGCTTTCTTTATTCAATTCCCTAACATGAGAGAACCTTTTATAATTCAAGGAAAGGGAAGTGATATGTTTTTGTTCGATCACAGATATTTCTGGTATTCTGTAGTGTTAATCAGAGTGAGCTTAATCATTGTACTCTTCCATTATCTTACAGAGATGAAATATAAAAAGTAAGTGTAAATAAAGAAGGTGATATTTGACTATTCCTTAGCTTATAAAAATACCATGAGAAATACTAGTGTAAAACAAGAACATGAATTAAGAATCTGAATATTTACAATAATAATAGATTTTCCCACTCGAAAATGGTATAAAATTTCTGGTATCATAGTGAATAACAATAAAAAATAGTAAATTTTATCAAATAAAGTTAGAATTCTTTTTGAAAAGCTTTCTTTTTTGTTAAAATATATCATTCTTACCAAATAGCTTGGGAACAAAGAAAAATGTTTTTTGCAAAGCAAAATGAATTAGAACTTTATAAATTTCATCAAATTTTTTCTATTTATTAATCGGATTTTAACTTATAACTAATATGTGCAAACTTTTAAAATTGGATGTCAATATAATTAATGTTTGTAACATCACTATCACTTTGTGAAAACTGACATTGCTACTAACTTACATATAATTGCCTATTATAATAGTTTGAAGGAAATGGTTGGAGTTTTGTAGAAGTTAGCTATATATATAATCTGAATGCCAAAATACTTAAAATTATTTTCATGTTTTATAGTTTATAAACCAGAAAAATCCTAAAAGCTTGCAGACTTACTTGAACATGAAGTCTAAATTTAAGGAACTATACAATATCCTAAATGTACAAAATCCAGTTCAGGGTCTAATTAGAGAATGTTGAGTTTTTCTATGAAAAGAAATTTATACATAATTCTCATCTTTTAAAAAATTACTTAAAATGCAGTTGAAATATATATATGTGGTAAGTTTGATTTCTTTTTTTAATCAAGCAAAATAACTTTATTAGAACTTCTCTTAATGACTTGTTAATGTCTCATTAAGGATTAATGTAAAGTTACTTCATGGTATGACATTTTTAGGTTAAAGTAACCTTTTACAAAGAGAAGTTTTATATAATCTGTGATACAAGTATTCAAAAAAAACATTAAATTGATTTGAACTGATTATAGTTGTATAGAAAAACAGGCCTGAGGTAACGGACTTCTGATGAAATATGCTTTTTTGAATAGTAGATGAGTTCTTCAATCAGCTACCTTTCTCACTTGGAGGGCAACTCTTTTAATTTTGGTCTTTAAAGAGAAAAGCGAAGAGTGATACTGCTTTGTAGTTGTCCCTCACCTGTTTTATTTTTTTCCTGATTTTTATACCTGGATATTTAGTGTCAGTTCCTTGGAAAGGCCACCTAACTTCTCTAATTATATCTCTGAGAAGTTTTGTGATTTGAGTGTTTTAAATGTTGTGTTTATAGGAATTTATTGTAAGGAAATTGGTCTGCCTCATGGCCTTAATGGTATTCATGTATCTTTTGACAGGAATTAATATTTTCAGTGGAGGGTTTTAAGTCCTATGGCTGGTACCTTACTTTAGTACAATTTGCATTTTACTCCATATTTGGCCTAATAGAACTTCAGCTTATTCAGGACAAAAGGAGAAGGTATGTGGTTTGTTTGTTTTTATTTTTTCACAGTTAAGTTCAGTAGTAGTTAAATTTTTGGTTTTGCTTTTTGGGTATACAGAGTATATTATGCCTGAAATATACATTTCCCATTAATAAAGCATATCTAATACCGAAGCATTTTTAACAGTATAATCAATTTAGTAAAAATATTAAATATGGTATTTTCATCATACATTGAAAAAAGTAATCTCTAAGTGTAAGTTCAAAAAATGTAATTTAGGCTCAACTTGTATTAAATACATCATTTTAAAATGACAACATATTCAGATGTACATGTGTATTTTTATAAATGTCACTGAAATAAGTGATTACTGAAAGATTTACAGTGCTGCTACATTAAAGTGGTGATGTAAAATATCAATACCTATTTTTGTATTGGTTTTTAAAATTTATAGTAATGTTTTCTTTTTTACTTAACATTGTCATACACTATCTAGTAGCTGAGATTGCATTCTTAGTCACAGAAATTTCATAATATTTCTTTTCATCAAAACTGAAGGGGCTTGTTCAACAGTATATTTTAAATTGGCAATCTAGATTATAGAAATACGTTCATATATTTTTAATGGCATATAGAACAATATGCAATAAAACCATACCTCTGATTATAACTAGATGGTGGTTAGGAAATTGAATGTTTTTGGTAAATGTAGGTATGATTTTCCTGACATATCAGAGCCTAATATGTGAATATTTCAGGTATATATTGGGCAGTTTAAAAATGCAATAAGAAGCTCTAATATTGCACTGACTTCTGTCTTCATTGATATAAACGTTTAATCCTTCAGTGAAAATACAAAATTTTCACAGCTTTTATTTCTTACATAAATGCTTTTGATGTTTGTATGAAGATAATTATAAAATTTTAAATATTTAAATCTGTATCTCCAGTGTTTCTTCATGGGTCTAATTTTACCTCTCAGTCTCTATATATTGTCAATACATTATTATAGCAGTGATATTAAAAATGTTTTAATCTGAAGATATCTTATTCATTATTTTTATGCTCTGAAACTCTACAAGTCTAAGCCGTAGATGATAAAATAGAAAGTAATCAAATATACCTGTCAAGACTAATATATAAGGAACTCTGATGATTCATTACCTATTGCAATCTTCTGGATCTCTGTTGCTTCTAAAGTAAAAGAATCTAATACTGTCTGTACTGAATGAAAAGTGACAAAGAAACTATCTCCTCAATGTTTTAAAAAGATACACATCTCCCTCTCAGCTACCAAAGTAAGATGGAGCGGGGGCCCAAAGCCATACTAATTTATCCCAACCTTTAAACCATATGATCATACATATTTGAAGGTAACATCATTTGTGTTTGATTTAAACATAAGTGAAGGAATTTGGCAGAAGAATGTATAGATATATAATAAATACAATTATGCATTGAAACCTTCTTTATTCCAAAGCACATGAAAATCTATTTTAGAAAAAGTCTTTAAAGGTATGTTATAATGAAAATACACCTAATCACATATTTCTGAATTTATTTCTTAGTCTATATCCTCTGAATTTAAGTGACACTGCTGTTTAGACCTTTGCTTAGTTTTTGTCTGTCTTCCTATGTTTATATGAATACCAGTGTACTTGAAAATGTGCAGGATTTAGTCAGAAAAAATGGCTGTGATTCTTGCACTGCCTCTCATTAGCTCTTTGAAGGCTGCAGGGAAGTTTCTTAAATTCTGTGTATTTTATTTTGAGGATCAAATGTGATAGTGTGGTGAAGCACATTGTGACGTATAACACCCTGAATATACTACTTGTTATTTTTCAAGAAAGATTGCCTTGTAACTTTATTAATTCTTTATATGAGTTTGGAATAAAGGACATCTGTCAAATTGGTTTTGACTGGGCTTTTTAAAGTTACACTTTTCCCACCACATCTAAGGAGGTAAGCAGTTGGGGTGTTAAATGAAAATAGAAGCCATGAGATCATATAGCAAGTTGCTGTCAGAGTTGGAGCCTTTTGAATTTAGGTTTCCTGAGTTTCAGGCTTGTTTTTTCTTTTTTTCTACCTGTACTATGTTGCTTTTCTAATCATCGTCCTTGTGATTTTTCTGGCTTGAATTTTTTATTTTCTGGCTAATGTTCTCTTACCTAGAGAAACAGAGCTATCCTCTTTCCCTGATGATATCGCACTGAGCGTTAAACCCCACGAACAGCATAAAATCAGTGTTTGTGTAAAATGATGCATATGGGCCTGCCACAATATTTCCCTATGGATTTTAAATGTTGACCACTATATTAGTAGTTACCTCAAAATTGAAATGTAAGTGGAAATGATGCATTCTAATTGAATTTTTCCAGTGAATTATTCTGCCTCATATCTAGCCATATAAAAAATATGAAAAATGTTGTTTTGATTTAAACATGAACACAAAGCCCAAAATAGAAACTAGATCTAAGGAGGCAACATAACGTAATTATGTGATTAGTGCTTCCTATGTTAGGCACACCAGTGTACAAGATTATTATTTTAGACCATTAAATGTCTAGTGTAAGTGAGCATATGCTCGCAATGGTAGCTCAAAATTCTGAAGATTCTAGGTGAACAATTTATTTAGGAAATCCAAATAGAACTTAAAGCAGAAGATTTGGGATCATAAGGAGAGACTCCAGCTCCTCATCAGAAAGTTGATTTTACAGAATACAGAGTTGGAGATGAATCACAAGATGTGTGATGAAAATTATGTCCAGAGTTTTAAACACATACTTTTTCTAGAGAAATTGTGCTCAGTTTACTCTAGCAGAATGGATGGATGTATTTTTCCTAATGCTAGATGGAAACATTAAGAAACAATTTAGAAGTTAAAAATTAGTTGAGGTGTCTTTCACCATTATAGAGGCCAATGTTTTAAAATATTTTTTCTAATTTTAGTCATGGTAGTTTTTGTGCCTTATACACACAGTAAGAATCTAAGTGACTCTATATATACGACTTTTTCACATAGGCATTCTCACTCAAGATTGATTAAATAAGGGTGAGTTGTTATTTTTAGTGACATTAATTTATGTAAGTAAACAGTGTTAAAACTTTAAAATAGTGATGTTTTACCAATATTTCTAGAAATACTAAACAAATAAAAAGTAAATAGACATTTACACATTGTAAACACCTTATCTAACAAGTATGAATTGGGTCCCAAAATGAAGATTTTAAAAATTGTCTTTTACAGAATACCAGGAAAAACCTACATGGTAATCGCTTTTCTAACTGTGGGTACTATGGGGTTATCAAACACTTCCTTGGGCTACCTGAATTATCCTACCCAAGTCATCTTCAAGTGCTGCAAGTTGATTCCTGTGATGCTGGGAGGAGTTTTTATTCAAGGTATAGTAATATATTTTCATACTGTTTGAAACTAGTAGGATATGTTATAGCATCTAGCATTAGGAAAAATATTAAACTTTGGTTAATTCAATGAACATTCTAAATATTTTATCAATTCTGAGTGATAAAAAAAATCAGGTATTCTAAAAATTATAATACTTGTGATCTGCCTTAGTGTCTGAAATCAATAATTTGAACTCAGGTAGAATAAAAATGGTATTTTGCTGTATTCTTTGAATCTGGAATCTACTTCCATTCCCAGAAATACTGTATTTGCCTATTGAAGACCTAACCAGAAGTACCTAAGTACCTGGAAAGCTCCTTCTTTCATTTCTTTTATGTACTCGTCGGGGCTCAGAGTGCTCTCTACCTCCATTGTACAAATGGACAGCTCTTATATTGAAGCGAAGCTTAACCTGAGGAGAACTGCTTTTTTTACCAGTTCTGCTGGCTTATTGATTTCTCAGAGTGCCAACCAAGTTACAGGCTTTGTGGAAAGAGCAGTAAGAGAGGAGACAATGATAGCAACAAGCAGCAGAACAAGTTGTTGTTCATATAACTGTCATGAGGAATATTCATGTTTGGATAATTAAGTGTTTCTATATCACTGACGTTCTTATACAGCCTGACTGCATTCTATGCATTGGATGCCTTCACAAAAAAGCCTTTTAATGAAAGTGTGTCTCTCTTTACATAGGAAAAAGTAATGATCTCAATCCCTATTAAAAATCACATTTAACATCATAACTAACTGAGCCTGTATAATACTTCCTTAAAATCCTTCCAAAAAGTTACACTACATGGTTTTATTATTTAAATGTGGATATATTAAAATCAGTTCTTACTAACCTAGAAGTTATTTGATTATGGTATTTGCAAACTTAAACAGTTATATGGCCTGAATAATTACTCTGGTTACTTTGTAAACCTGTGAACTAGAAGAAAATTCATAGCCTTATATATGAAGGAAAAAAAGGCATTAATTCCCATTAACTTTTTAAATGTTCATATTTACTCACTACAGTAACAGATAAAATAGAATCTCATATCTAACTTATAAGGACACAGGGGTGCTCACTGAACATTTAATTTTTAGAATCCCTTCTGTGACACTCTCATGCCTTAACCTAGGTGTTCTTATATATTTTGACATCAGCTATAAAAAGTAGACCCCTGATCTACTTGGTTAAACACATAGATCTAAAACTACGCTGAGTGGATCCTTCCTTTCTGAGGTTGACTTACATTTATGTTACACAGGCAAGCGTTATAATGTTGCAGATGTGTCTGCCGCAGTGTGTATGAGCCTTGGTCTGATATGGTTTACCCTCGCTGACAGCACAATTGCACCCAATTTCAACCTGACAGGTAAGGAATTCTACTGTCTTCCGAGGTGTTGCAGGGAGTTTGGTTTACAATTTCATAAGGATTTTAAACCGTGGTGTGACATCTGTAATGCTCGTATCTAACAAAGCTTTCCATCATAAATAGTATCCCATGTGGAATTCATAAATTAATATTAGATTTTTTTTCACAAGCAGAATAGATATGATAATATGTTTAGAAATAAATAAGAATATAAAATATGGGTTGGAAACTTCTTTTCATTCTAAAGACTTCTGGAGAAATTACTTATATATACATATTGTCATCCTTAATTCTTGAGTTTTAGTCATAAGATTATTGTGGTAAAAATATTACAACTCTGGAAATAATTGTTTTTACTACTCATGTATTCTGACATGACAGAAAGCTGTTTGCCCAAAGTTTTCTGTTATCAAGTACATGGTAGATCAATTTCTTATGGGCTGAATTGGAAATACACACATGAATTACAGGAGAATCACAGTAATTTTGTATTCTCATTTTCTTCATTGAAACTTGCACATGTACTCATCATTGTTTTAGCTAAAGAGGGAAAGAGACGTGTTGAATTAATATGGTTATAACCCTAACATGCTTAAAGTTTCTACCATAAATAGTGTGTCATATGGAATTTTGTAAATTAAATTTAGGTTTTTCTCACAAGCAGAATAGGTTTTATAGTAAGTTTAGAAATAAATAAGGATAAAAAATACATATTGGGATCTTGTTTTCATTTTAAAGACCTTATGGAGAAACTGTGTATATATACATATTGTCATTCTTAACAATTGAGTTTTACTCATAAGATTTTTTTAGTATCATCCCATCTCATACCTTTCCAAAATAGTACAAGGTACTTAAAATATCTAGGTCTTCTCCCTGGGTGGGTGGCTCAGTTGGTCGGAGCATAACCCTTATCCCATACACCAAAAGGTTGCAGGTTCAATCCCTAGTTAGGGTACCTGTCTAGGATGTGGGTTTGATCCCAGGTCAGGGTGCATATGGGAGGCAACCGATTATAATATGTATGTAGGTATGTCTCTCTCTCCCCGCTTCCTCTCTAAAATTTAAAAAAAAAAAATTAGGAAGAGTAAACTGGAATGCACAAGCATGAACAATGGTGACCTCACTATACTAGTCAGTGGGGTCAGTAAATGCCATTGAGTGAGCATGTGTACTATGTGGCCATCAGTTCAGGAGTGAGTAGAGCAATGAATCTGCCTCAAATTTCGCATTAAGCTTGAACATTTCTCCACGGAAATTATTCTAGATGAATCAGAAGGCTGCAGCTATGGGCAACTGGTGATTAGCAGCTTCATCACAACAACGTGCCCACTCATGCATCACATTTTGTGCAGAGTTTTTTGGGGAAACATCAAATCAGCCAAGTGACTCAGCCCCACTACAGCCCAGATTTGGTGCCCTGCAACTTAAGGTTTTTCCCAAAACTAAAATCACCTTTGAAAGGGAAGTCTTCAGACTGTTGATGAGATTCAGGAAAACACAATGGTGCAGCTGATGGCGACTGGGAAAACTGTGTGAGGCCCCAAGGTGCCTGGTTTGAAGGGGACTGAGGCATCATTGTCCTGTGTACAATGTTTCTTGTATCCTCAATAAATGTTTCTATTTTTCATAGTACACGACTGGATACCTTCTGGACATAATATATTTTACAAAATGTAGTGAGTGTAATTATTTGTGAGGGAAAAGTATTAAATAATAAAGAAAATTATTTACATGAGCTTCACTGTTCTTACTACTTGTTAGCCAATCTTTTTTACTAATCTGGTTAACCAGGCTAAGTTAAGGGATTTAAATGTAACCACTTTAGCTTCCTGGAGCTGCCCTGTAAGAGCTAGGAGATCTGGTAGAACCTCTTACATCTGTTCTTTCAACTTGGGCCATTCAGAGGTCAAGAGATCCTTACTTCAATGACTCTTACTCTGAGAAAGCTTACAGTCGCAGGTGTTTCTTACATGGTTTAGATTTTTCAGAAACAGTTTGTTTTCATGTCCACAAATTTAAAAAGTAATTTATACTTGAACACTAGGAAAACTGACTCTTTTACTTAATGAAAATGCAGTTTTAGACAAGACACATAATTTGCTATCAGAGACACGGCTTCAAATTCTGTTTGAATCACTTAACAATATAACTGTAGCTAAATTGCCAGATACCTTTGTGCTTCGCTTACCCAGAAATAATGATGACAGTGCGCTTCACACACAGGCAGTGAGAGGGTAGAGTGAGATGATGAAATAATGGGTGCGGAAGCACGTAACTCAGTGGGGGTGAGGTGGGGCTGGTGATGGTAATGGTGGAAAGGGGTGGTTCTGTAACTTCTCACTGTAGTTTAAGTGCTAACCCTTTCTGAGGTCCATGGAGATACTAGTACCTAACCATATTTTCTTATTAAGAATAGTTGATGAGCAATTTATCACAATCCCTGATCTGCAGGAGTATATTATCTAAAGAAGATTAGATTAACTATTAAAATAGATAAGACAGACATAAATAAAACTTTGTATAAAGAGATATATCAGATTTACTTATTCAAATCAATGTTCACCTTAAAATATTCCCCTTAGTATGCAATTAGGGTATTTTCATAAAAGTATTTCATGTTGTTGACATTGTTCAGAGCATTTTTGGAATGTCTTTGAAAAGCCTTTCAGGAGCTAGGCCATTGTTTTCAGGATCTTCAATAATACCATGTCTTTTTCTCTTGAGGACAGATTTGATATTGAAACAAGTAAAAAAGCATTCAGAATCAAATTTGGTGCATAAAAATGCATGATTAGGTAATACCTAAGTTAGGTGATAAAGAGTCAAATTGAAGAAAAAGGATGAACACTTGAAAATTCTCAATTAAATGCATATATGTGTACTTATATTTTCTGTTTGATTCCTTTCATGTGGTTGGGGGGAAGAGCCCTGGCTGGTGTGGTTCAGTGGATTGAGCGCCAGCCTGCGAAGCAGTGGGTCACTGGTTCAAATCCCAGTGTAGGGCACATGCAGGGGTTGGCGGGCCAGATCCCCGGCGGAGGGCATTCAGGATGCAACCACACATTGATGTTTCTCTCCCTCCCTCTCTCTCTCTCTCTCTCTTCCCCTCTCTAAAAAATAAATAAAATAAAATAAATCTTAAAAAAAAAAAACTAAAAAAAAAGAGAGAGAGAAAACTCCCTTAAATTTCATCAGACAGATGTAATCAAGGCTGCTCTTTATTCCTTCTGTAAGCACCATGACTGATGACCGGAGTCCTAAACACTTGGAGTTGAGAGCCTGCTTCTCCAGAGATGTGCATGTCTATATGAGTGTGTTGATTTCTGGATTTGTTTATGCCAGTTGTACCTGTTATTATAATTATGCAATAATTAAATATTTACTTGAATTATTCAAAACTGAATTTGAAGAAAAAATTGTTTCTATAAAAACTAAGTTAATTGAAACCATTTGGTTGACAAGTCAATAAAATCACTATTTAATTACAGGGGGATGGAAGAACTGTAAAAATTGGAGGCTATCATAAAAATATGAAATGTTTCTGCACCTTGATTGTTTCAGAAGATGTTGAGTTTTTGGTGCACTTTTTTTTTTTAATTTCTGAGGTTCCTGAAATAAATATATATAAAAAAATATACATATATAATATATATAATATTTTTTAACCAAGCAACTTGGAAATTATGGAGATTATGTTTTATGAGTGGTTTAAACAAAAGAGAAAGTACAGAATTTTAGTTAGGACCCTCATTGAAAGAAAATACCTTGGTAGTTGCATGCATGTTTATGTGTTTTAAATTAAACATTTTAAAAATAAAGGTAATTTTCTTATGGTTTCCCTCTTCATCTGATTTTTAATTAACTGACTAACTACCAGTCCCAATAAATCTTTTAAAAATGTCTTCTATATTTATTTAATATATTATTCCTCTCAAACGTATAATCAGTTTAAAAGCAGAACTATTATTTAACAGGACAGTGAAACACAATAACGGTGACAAAAGTAATGCAATTTATTAGTGTTAGCTTTTTTATAAAATAACATCACCTGTGTAACCTATGTGACCTATGTGCCTGTCACAAGTGATTGTAGATTTAAATACTCAGCTTTATGGAACAAATGTGATTAAGATCTGCTTTTGTTTTTTTAGCCCAATTATATCTCTGACAGATCTTGATTCTCATTCATATGTTTAAATAAAGAGGTTCTTTTTCTCCTGTGCCTTCTTGAAGGTGTGATCCTTATTTCCCTGGCACTGTGTGCAGATGCTGTCATTGGAAATGTGCAGGAGAAGGCTATGAAACTGCACAACGCTTCTAATTCGGAAATGGTAAATAGTCTAGCATTTTTCCCTTCACATCAGACAGATGCAAAATGGTGATAATATTTAATTTTATTAAATAGTTACAGTATTGACTTGCATTACATTTTTAAACTAGTTTTTCATTATTTTCATAAAAGTAATGCATTCAAACATAGGAAGGTAAAAAGTAAAAATGCTACTACCACTGCTAATAGCTTATGGTATAGTATTTGATCAGGTTTTCATCAGTGGTTTATATTTTTTACATATTAAAAATCCTTTGATACATCATTTCTCCTGTCTTTGTATTTGGTTATTATTTTCCATTTAGAAGTCGGTGGTATTTATGTGGTCCAGTTTATCTTCTCCTTCATGGTTCTGCTGTGTATTATGACTGCAAAGGGCTTTCCTGACGCTAAGATTTAAGAATTTTACCCACATTGCCTATTCCTTTTATAATTTCCTTTTTTATTAAATCTTTGATCCACCTAAAACTTAAAAAATTTTCTTCTATATGGCTATTTACTTATCCCAATATCATTTATTGAATAATCTAGTTTTTCATCTTAAGTACCTTCTTTATTCATATTTTAATGAAGGTCAAAATTGTATTCTTTGAATTTATTTCTGCACCAGAACCATATGATGACAGCAGCTTTATCATACATTTATCATCTGTCAGGACTAGCCACCATTGTTCCTTTTGTTTTTCAGAATGTTACTACCAGTAGTTTTTCTTGGGTGTTCATATCCCCAAATAAACTAGAAATCCCATTGGTATTGTGATTGGTATGGCATTGAATTATAAATTAATTTAGGGAGAATGGCATCTATACCCTTGATTCTTTCAATCCAAGAATAAGGTATGACTTTCCTTTTATTCAAGTATTCTTTTTAAAATGTCCCTTAGATTTTAAAATTTTCTTCATATATCCAATACATTTCTATTGAACTTATTGTTAGGTATTGCATCTTTTTGCCATTGTTACTGCAAATAATGCCTTTTCTTCCAATATATCTTTTGATTGCTATTTTTATATAGGCAAGTTATTGTATGTGTTTACATTAACTTTATAACCAGCTGCCTTGCTAGACAGATAGAGCAGACTGCATGAAGGATGTATAGGACTGGCCTTCCCTGGGTTTCTTTTTGTCAGCAGAGTGGCCATACTCTAAGGAGTCCCTAGGAACATAGGAACTTCCATCCAGGTCAAAGTTTTCTTGAACATCATCACTGCTCTTCCTAGATTAGGTAAAAATAAAAGAGTTAAGGATGTGTAGGTAATTAGAAAGTTAATGTAGTATAGTGTTAGACCCTCGGCTCTGGTCTAAGAGCTCCAGTTCATTATCCTAACTTTATAAGCTCTCTTATTTGGGGAAAATGACAATATCTGTTTTAGTTTCTTCATCTGAAAATTGGAAATGATTTAAAGTACTTATATCTAGATTGGTTGAGAGAAATAAATGGAGTAGTCCATATAGAGCATTATTAGCACAGTACTTAACACAAAGCAGGTATTGAAGTTTGATTCTGATTTTGCTTATGAATTTAATAAACTGGAATAGAAAGTTTAGTAGGAAAACTGGGAAATTAAGCATAAATATGCAATATACTTCTTATTTTTGCTATATTTTAATGTCTTTGCAAACTTAATGTTTGTGTTTAGTAAGTATCTATAAAGTCTTTTTGTTTTGTTTGTGTTTTTAGAATCCCAACATTAAAACCTACTTTGAATTCAGTAATTAAGCCAGAAAAAAATATGAATAATTATGTAACCATATACAAAGGATTGGTACTGCTGTGTTATATTGCACATAAAATAATGTATAGACTTAGAAACAGGATCAACCATCGTTTCCAGAAAGTTAAGCCTTATTGAAACAATGATGTTACTCAAATTTAATTGACTAGATTAATTGAGCCACATGTTGAAATCCTTCGTTTTTAACCTTTGGTTTAATATCACTTTTTTCCACTGTATTTTTATCTGCTCTAGGTATTGTATTCGTATTCAATCGGGTTTGTGTACATTTTATTGGGATTGACATGCACTAGTGGATTAGGTCCTGCAGTAACATTTTGTTCAAAGGTAAACATTAATGACATTTTAAAAAATAAACATTGTCCATTAAATGGTTTCCTCTGTATTTCTAATTCCCCTTGTTAAAGACTATTTTTATATAATTTGATAAATGTCTTTATGTGCAGATCAGAAATTATTTCAGAAATGAAATGATTTATATTTAAATTTACTTTATCCTTGCTCTACCCTATAAGTTAATATTTAAGCTGTTCATGATGTAGAAGTTGTGGATTTTAAATTTCATCATTATTTTTCCATTAAATCAGAACTAAATAAGAATCTTTGCTTGACTGCATTGTTGAATGGCTTATTATTGCTCAAGAAGTTGATTAAAATCTGTGGTTTTATTTCATTTGTAATACCTTAGGGTTTGTTTTGTATTTTTCTAACAGGCTTTTCTCTGTGTTGCAGAATCTAATTCGGACCTATGGTTATGCTTTTCTTTTTTCCCTCACTGGATATTTTGGAATCTCCTTTGTTCTGGCTTTGATTAAAATTTTTGGTGCACTTCTTGCTGTAACAGGTAGGAGTGATATACTTGCTTAGATTATGAACTAAGCATTTAAATTTTCTCTGATGCTCTTTTCCAAAAGGTAAGGGCAGCATGATATCTTCAAATAATTAAAAAGAAAATTGTCATATTTGACCAATTTATTCCTGGGCTTATGGTATTGCTTTAAAATTCCAAAGAAAATGTTTAACCTTAATTTATTTAACGGTTTAATTTTAAAATCAAATATATACATTTATCTAAATAGCAACTTTTAAATACATTAAAAGAACTTTTTATTAAAAAGTATAATAAGATGAATAATTTCATAGAAAAATATTACCTTTATACACTTTAATTTAAACTGAGAATTCCAGTTTTGTTGAAGTTAAAAGTATGACATGTGTTTTGAACGTTTTTGGACTTTTCTTTTGTACACTTTCCAAGACATCAGATGAGCTTCTCTTTTCACTAATAATTATTAGGCACTTGCCCTGTGCGGGGACTTTCCTCGCACATTAGAGGAATGAAATTTGTGTTTGTTCTGCTTTGGAGGAGTGAGGGGAACAGATGAGGAGCCATAGGTGAGGCCTAATGAGGGCAGCAGATGACTCCCCGTACTACGTTGTGTTGTTTGCCGAATGAACAGTTCAGGCAATGAGTGCTCTTGGTGTCTCCCACGTGGAGAGAGCCCCGAAGCCAGGATTGGAAGCAGGGGGAGAGTTGTGGCCTGCTGCGTCACAGAAGGTGGAGCCCAGTCCCAGCTCGGATGGTTAATGACTTGTGACCTAGAGAGTAACTCTCTCTTCCTCTCTGAGCTTCCTTTCTCTCTTTTGTATAGTGGTTGGTTGAACTCAATCATTTCCACCAGAGATCTACAGAATTTGCATTCATTATGCATATATGCATTAGTCATTTATCTGTTAGGAATTTTCTGTGGTTTTAGAGGAATACTTACTTTAATACCACAGAATAAATTAAACAAATGAACAAATACTTCTCTCTTTGTAAAAGTATATTTGCTTTCTAACTTTACTCTATTTGCTCAGGTATGACTCTCCTTTTTAAAGTTTACATCCCAAATGGTAAATAGAGGGAATTTGATTATAGATTAGGCCATATCACTAATCTTTCAATTCATCTCATATACTTAACTTGGGTTCCAATTTTGCTTGTAAGAATAACTGTTTAAAAATGTTCTTATATCAGCTGATGTGCATTGATTGGGCCCTGTATGAAGAAATGTGAGATGCAGTCCTTGTCTTGAAGGTGCAAGCCAGTTCATTTCTCCACCTTATAAAAAGAAATCCAGAGGTGGTAATAATGATTACAGCTAATATGTCTGTAGCCCTTATTGTGTACCAGGACTGTTTCAGTATTTTACATATATTATTTATCTTAATCTTGAAATAATCTTAGAAAGTACTCACTATTATTGTTCCATTTCACAAATGGGTAAACTGAGGCGTGGGGCAGTAAGTGACTTGCCCAGTAGTCAGGCAGCTCATAAGTTGTAGAGTCAGGATTCCAACTAAGTTAGGGTGGCACTAGACCTGTGCTCTTACCCCTGTGCTAGTCTACCCCTTGAGCTGCTGTGGAGTCTCCATGCTCATTAGGAATCCAGGCTCCTTCTGTGTGCTCTGCCTGTTCCAGGCAGTGAGGTGGAGAGAAAATGAAACACACGCCTTTCTATTTATGAAAACTTCCTAGAAATCACAGTCCCAGAAACAGCACTTCTGCTCACATTTTTTTGGCCAAAACCTAATCCATGATCACACCTAGCTGTAGGAGAGGCTAGAAGGCATGGCCAATTAAAAATAGGGGTCCTTGTATTAAAGTAAAAGGAAAGACAGATTTGGGGAATCAACTCTGACACGTTTCCAAAACAGTTTCTTCATTTGGTGTTCATTCACGCATTGAACATTAAGTGCTAGGAACTACAGAGTCTGGGAATATAGGGATGAATAAGACAAGGAATAAGTAAAACACACAGTCTAGTGTAAAGATAGTAACTGATAATGCAAAGTGAGGGAAAAGCTATGATGGAGATATATGTAGATTTCATATCTCATGAGACAAGGAAGGAAGGTTTCAGGCCTTACAATAGACATTGAAGTAGTAACTTAAAGGATAAGCAAAAGTAAATACAGACAAAGAAGATTGTGAGAATTGCTCATAGTCTTACCCAGAGTTGGTCACTATTAAGATACTAGGTTGCCTGTTCCACCTAATCAAATATTTTAGAAAGCATTTCTTTCCTGCCAAACTAAGTAAGTCTCTCTGAGGGATGACATGCCTCCATGTGCCATGGCCTCTATTGAGTATTTATTATAGTTGTGCTTTAACATGTACTATAATATTTAATGCCTGTACCCCCTACTAGACTATAATCCCATAGTAGCAGCAACAGTGACTTCTTGTTTTTTGCTTTTCATTGTTTACTTGCACCTCAAATAGATCCTGGCACATAGTAGGCTTTGTAAATATCTGTGAATGAATGATTTCCAAAATAGTCCTAGGACAGTAGACACATTCTAAACCAACCTTTTTCTCCCTACAGTGACAACAGGAAGAAAAGCAATGACCATTGTACTTTCATTTATATTCTTTGCTAAACCATTCACATTTCAGTAAGTACATTTTAATTCAACAAGTTTCTCGGTGTTTAGATATTTTGTTTCATTTTCCTATTAAACAGCCTTAATTCTTTATAAAACATATTTTTCATCTCTACCTCTAATTTATTGATGTCTTCTGCTTCTTCAGAAATGTGTGTAATTATTTGAAGATATCATTTTGTACACTTAAGCTGTCTAACCAGAATCCCAGGGCAAATGTGATCCTGTTTAGAATGTAAATGAGTGTGAGTGATATGTTAAAATTAAGGGATTCAATGCCCCTTGCCCTAGTGCAAAAATATTTATATATTTTTATATATAATATTTATATAAGTACACACACACACACACACACACACACGTACATCTCTCCAGAAAAAGTCCAGCCATTGTTAATATAATGAAAACAGTTTGCATTACATCGATAGAATGGACTGGAATATGCATTCATGAACAATGATGACTTACCTGTACTAGCTATTAAGGGCAGTAGATGCCATTTGAGTGAGCATGTGTACTATGTGGCCATCACATTCAAAATGACCGAGCAAGTACAGCAGCGAATCTGCACCAAATTTTGCGTTAAGCTTGAACATTCCTCCACGGAAGCTATTCCAGTGATTCAGAAGGCTGCAGCTGTGGGCAACTGGTGATTGGCAGCTTCATCATAACAATGTGTCCACTCACACATCACTTCTTGTGCAGAGTTTTTTGGCAAAACATTAAATCACCCAGGGACTCAGGCCCCCTACAGCCCAGATTTGGTGCCCTGTGACTTCTGGCTTTTCCCAAAACTAAAATCACCTTGAAAAAGAAGAGATTTCAGAGCATTTATGAGATTCGGGAAAGTACAACAGGACAGGTGATGGCGATTGGGAGACCTGTGTGAGGTCCCAGGGTGCCTGCTTTGAAGGGGACTGAGGCGCCAGTGTCCTGTGTACAATGTTTCTTGTATCTTCTTTAATAAATGTCTATTTGTCATATTTCATGGCTGGATACCTTCTGGATAGACCTCATGCATATGTGTGTGTGTGTGTATTTTAATTGTTGGTTTATTTGCTGCCTTTTCTCACAAAGGAGTTGAAGTGGAGAAGTATTCTATCAGCTGTGCCCTAATGAATTAGGTTGCGGTCTTTACTGTTTTCTTTATTGTCAAGATGTATTTGAAATTAGCATTATTTAAACTTACCTTGGTTAGGAATTGAGAAGATCTGAAACCTATAAATTGCCAACGTATAAAATTAAAGGTAAACACAAAATAAATTTCCATCCATGTATTGATTGTTTTCTATAAGTTGGTTTCCCTTTTTGAATATGGTAGGTATACATTATAGTTATCTTTGCCAATTCCCCTTTCTCTGGATGTGTCCCCTTTTTATTGCTATTTGTTCTACCCAACTGGGATAACTAGTCAGGTAGCTGTATTGTATTCGCAAGATGGCCATTGGCAGGTTTACCAGTCCAGCATTTTCACTTAAAACTTTTGGTAGGAGTTGAACTTTGAATTTTCTATTATTCTCAAAATTCAAATGAACTACGTTTAGTATTTTGTAAAATATCTTATTTCTATATACACTTAACATAAAAGATATGAAATTCTCACTACTCTGATCTAAAACTACTATATTTGTTTTAGCACTATTATTGTAAGCTTCCCATTACAAAATTTTATTTTCTTGCATAACATAGTTTTTGTGAACTTATCACCAAATTCTGTGACTAATAATGAATTTTTACCTTAATTTTTTTTCATATCTTTTTCTCTTAGGTACATATGGTCTGGTTTGTTAGTTGTCCTTGGAATATTTCTCAATGTTTACAGCAAAAATATGGATAAAATGAGACTACCATCACTATATGACCTGATAAACAAAACAGTGGAAGTAAAAAAGTCAAGGACATTGGCACAAACTGTATAGACAGTGATTCCTGCTGTTTAACATGGAATTCTAAGGGACCAGTCACCAATTAATTAACTTTCCAAAGGTATTATTATAAACCAAAGGACCTGATGGCATGCTATCCATTCGCAACTGGATTCCATATGAAGTCAACCCTTTTCTTCAGAGCCGCTTGTTTGACTGACTTCTGAAGCAATCAAGAGAACAGCGTCTGTCACACCTTAGAATAGCATCAATATAAAGGACTGTAATTAGCAGCTTATTGAGAATTTAACTAGAAGTGGACCATGTTGTAAAAACTAATTAGATATTGTTATGACATATCAAAGAGATTGATATGAAATAGCGGATTCTTTTGTCTTCATTCCATTTTGGTGGTGTTATTTAAATTGATTCTCTGTTATAAGAGTGAACTGATGATTTAAAGTCTAGAGACAATAACTTCATTATAAATAAAAATTATTCTGTGATTGTTTTTTAAAGAATGTATTGATAGTGTTTTGTTATAAAGAGGGAAGTGAAGATTGAGTAAGGCTTTATATAAACTTTAAAACAGACCTTTTTCTAAGAAAAAGAATTTTTTAGAGAATTCATTTCAAAGAATTCTTTAGAGAAAACATGCTTTAGGTTTCTTGTGAAATATAACAATATAGTCAAAGGAGTCCTCACATTACATCCTGTAAGTATATATCATGAGAAAAATTTCCTACTATTTATCAAAGAGGTGCTTAGAGATTTAATCATTTAGATTTTTTTAATTGAAAGGAAATAATTGATTCTTATAAAATAAAAAAATTGCCATTGTTTTTCTTCCACAATTTATTTTTTTGTTTTTTTAAGTATATTTTATTGATTATGCTGTTATAGTTGTCCCAATTTTTTCCTTTTGTGCCCCTCTGCCCAGTACCTCCCTTCCCTCCAGCAGTACCCTCCCTGAGTTCATGTCCATGGGTTCATGTGCATATAAGTTCTTTGGCTTCTCCGTTTCCTATGCTATTCTTAACCTCCCCCTGTCTATTTTGTGCCTACCATTTATGCTTCTTATTCCCTTTTTCCCCTCTGCCTCCCCACTGATAACTGTACATGTAATCTTCATTTCTGTGATTATATTCCTGTTTTCATTGTTTGCTTAGTTTTTGCTTTTTAGGTTCAGTTGTTGTTAGTTGTAAGTTTGTTGTCATTTTACTGTTCATAATTTTTTATCTTTTTCTTAGATAAGTCCCTTTAACATTTCATATAATTAGGACTTGGCAATGATGAACTCCTTTAGCTTTACCTTATCTGGGAAGCACTTTATCTGCCTTTCCATTCTAAGTGAGAGCTTTGCTGGGTAGAGAAATCTTGGATGTAGGTCCTTGTCTTTCATGACCTTGAATACTTCTTTCCAGCCCCTTCTCGCCTACAAGGTTTCTTTTGAGAAATCAGTTGATAGTCTTATGGGAACGCCTTTGCAGATAACTCTCCTTTTCTCTTGCTTCTTTTAAGATTTTCTCCTTGTCTTTAACTTTGGATAACTTAATTATGATGTGCCTTCGTGTGTTTTTTCTTGGATCCAACTTCTTTGGGATTCTTCAAGCATCCTGGACTTGAATATCTTGTTTTTTCACCATATTGGGGAAGTTTTCCTTCATTATTTGTTCAGATAAGGTTTCAATTTCTTGCTCATCCTCTACTTCTATGATTTGGATGTTGGAATGTTTAAAGTTGTCCCAGAGGTTCCTCAGCCTCTCCTCATTTTTTTGAATTCTTGTTTCTTCATTCTGTTCCAGTTAGATGTTTATTTTTGCCTTTTGTTCCAAATCGTTGATTTGAGTCCCAGTTTGCTTCCCTTCACTGTTGGTTCCCTGTATGTTTTCCTTTATTTCACTTTGTATGGCTTTTGTTTCTTCCTTTATTTTGTGACCATACTCAGTCATTTCTGTGAGTGTCCTGATTACCAGTATTTTGAACTCTCCATCTGATAGGTTGGCTACCTCCTCATTGCTTACTTCTTTTTCTGGAATTTTCATCTGTTCTTTCATTTGGGCCATATTTCTTTGTCTCGGGCCACCTGTTACATTGTAAGAGGCAGAGCCTTAGGTATTTGCCAGGGTGGAGCAACCCACTTTGCTTTTAGATGGTGCTGTCTGTGGGAGAGGAGACAAAGTGGGAACAATGCCACTTGCTTGGCTCTCACCCCACTTTCCATCACTTCCCCATAAGCAAATGGTGCCCTTTCAGGTGCTGATTCCCAGGTGGGAAAACTTGTGTATGTTCTAGGACCCAGTGGGCCTCTCCAAAGAAGTCTCCTGTGAGACGGAGTTTTTCTTGCTGCTGCAACCCCCAGAGGTTTTTACAGCCAGAGGTTTTGAGGCTTTATTTCCCCATGCTGGGACCCTGGATTGTGCAATTTGTCTTCCCAGTTTTTCCTCCCAGCCTATCTGCACACAAATGTAGAATATCCTGGTCTGCTAGCAGCCGTCTTGCTGCTCATCTTCTCGACGTCAGCTGTTCATCTTCACCCCTTCTACCAATCTGGGTGAATGTTTCTTTTTTAATTCCTTGGTTATGAGACTTCCATGCAGTTTGATTTTCTGGCAGTTCTGGTTATTTTTTGTTTTTAAATTGGTGGTTATCCTTTTGGTTGTGCGAGGAAGCAAAGCATATCTACCTATGTCTCCATCTTGGCTGGAACTCCTAGGTATTTTTGATGCAATTTTCAATGGAACATTTTTGTAGTTTCCTTTTCTGATAGTTCATAATTAGAGTATAAAAATGCAACCAATTTCTGAATATAAATTTTTTATTTACTGAATTCATTAATCAGTTCTAGTAGTTTCTTGGTGGAAGTATATAGAGTTCTTTACATACAAGATTATGTCACCTTCAAATAATATAGTTTTAAATGTATTAGTTAAAACTATACATATTAACTATATATAAAACTAAATATATATTAACTATATTTAACTTCAAATAATATAATTTTAACATCCAATTAGGATGACTTTTATTACTTCTTCTTGTCTGATTGCTGTGGCTAGGAATTCCAGTACTATGTTATATGAGACTGATGAAAGCAGACATCCCTTTTTGTTCTAATAGGTGGTTTTTTCTTCCTAATGTTCCAAATCATTTGATTTGATTCTCCACTTTACCTACTCTACTGTTGTTTCCCTGTAAGTTGTTTCTTATTTCAATTAGTGTATCCTTTGTTTCTGACTGGATCTTTTTTATGCTGCTGAGGTCATCACTAAGATCCTTGAGCATCCTTATAACCAGTGTTTTGAACTCTGCATCTGATAGATTGCTTATCTCCATTTCATTTAGCTTTTTTCCTGGAGTTTCGACCTGTTCCTTTGTTTGGGCCATGTTTCTTTGTCTCCTCATTTTAGCAGCCTCCCTGTATTTGTTTCTATATATTGGTAGACCTGCTTTGATTCCATGTTTTGGTAGTGTGACCTAATGTAGTAGGTGTCCTGTTGAGTCCATTCGCATGGCCTCCCCTATCACCCAAGCTGAGTACTTGAGGTGTGCCCTTCATGTGGGCTGAGTACACCTTATGCCCTCCTCTACTTGAGCCTTGGTTGCTGTCAGGTCAATGGGAGGGATTTACCCAGGCCAGTCAGCTGCAGGGATTTGCTGTGACCACTTACTGCCAACCTCCACCCTCTGTGGAGGATCTGCTATGCAGAGGCAAGGTGGTGGTACTCTGACATGGTCTGTAGCTGTCCACTGAGTGCACTGGCCCTGGCCCTGGTTTCTTGTGTGGTGCAGGACAAGTTCAGCCCCCACCTGTGTTTTGTCCAGGGCTACCCTTCCTGAGCTATGAGTAATCTGAAAAGACCTCCTTGTGTAGGCTTGGAGATTCCAGGTGAAGCAAAGCTGTGAAACTACTCTGGCTGCTACTAGTGTCTGGTCTGGAGCTCACTGAGGCCAGCTATTGCTTGTTTCAGAGGATTTAGGAAGTTATGAAGCATCAGCAAAGACCAGCCATTCATATGGAAACAGCTTGAGTGGGCCCATAAGTTGAGTGGGACAGACTCTGGGAATCTCCAAGGTAGTCCCACAGTGTTAGCCAGCTTGATGGAGCCTCAAATATGATACAGCCTGCCGGCTCTGTGGCTCTGCAGGGGATGGGCTCAGAAAAAGAACAATGTCCTCTGCTCACCTTGATGCTAGACACTTCAGTTTCTCCCTATATACCACTGGTGCCCTTCAAGCTGCCACTCCGGTGTTAGAGCTCAGAAGGAGTGAATTTGAGTAGGTGATTCTGTGTGCAGGCTCTTTAAGAGGAATTGCTTAGAGCTCTAGAAGTTTCTTCCACTGACTCAATCCCTGCTGGTTTTTGCAGCCAGAAGTTGTAAAGACTTGTCTTCCTGGCACTGGAACCCTGGGCTGGGGGACCAGCTGCGGAGCTGGGCCTGCTTGTCCCCAGGATATCCCTCCCAAATTTTTATCCACTACATGTGAGTAAGACACCAGCCTGTTCCTCATCAGTGCCCCTCCTACCAATCTCAATGGATGTGGTTTCTTTTATTCTGTACTGTCAGACTTCCATTCACCTCGATTTCTGGTGGTCCTGAGTGACAGTTTTCCTATATTTTAGTTGTAATTTTGATGTTGTGTGAAGAGGCGAGCCATTTCTGCCTACACTGCCATCTTCCTTATGTAATTTAATTTGAAATTTAATTTGGCATGTTGAAAATAAAATAAGGTAAATTTAAGAAATACAAGTTAGATATAGCAAATTTGTAAAGTATGTTACTTGCATAGTTTTGAGTCTAAATTCATAAATATTTTGGCCCTTAGGTTTTAGCACTGCACTCTGGAATTCCTTCCACTGGTTAAAAAATTTCAATTAATCTTCATTTTCAGTGTAAGTAGCATTGATTAAAACAGTTCAGTATCTGTGCTATAGGTGATATCATTTGCGTTTCATCAGTATAATATACTCTGAACACTTAATCTCAATTCTTAAAATTCCATTGTATGCTGATGATGACTTCAACCTGTCATGTGCATCTGCAGGTACAACAGAGCCCCTGATAATTTAATGATCTAGCATAAAGAATTCTGACAGGTTTTCATTTGTTGCATGTTAAAATACTGTGAGTTTTCAGGTTTTCAAGATGGTAAAGGAATGAACAGAAGTCACACTGACTTCCTCCCAGGCCAATCAGAAATTACAACTAAATTGTGGAGAAATCACCCAGAACAAACCACCGAACAATAGTGAAAAAGAAGTTGTATCACCTCGGACAAACAGAAGAATCAGCTTTAGCACAACCTGACTGGTAAGGAGTGTAGTGGAGGCTTCGAGAAGACTGACTAGGCGCCCTTAGGCAGCAACAATAGAGGGATATTTAAACAGCCAGTTAGATCCCCCTGAGAAGAATGGAGTCTAAACAATAAGCGGGGACCCCCAGCCTATAGCACCAGAGCC